AAGGGGGTTAAATAATTTTACAGAAAAATACTTTTGAACAAAGAAGAACTTATTATTCGTATTTAAATCATTTTAATAACTAAATATATAATAAATATGTTAAAGTAAAAGTGAAATATAAATGGTATAATTTTTTCATCATACTGCTATATGACTTCATCCAGATCAGTTAAATTTATTTTAAATTGCAAACTTTAGTCATGTTAGAACTATTTTCTTGTTGATCGTCTTGAATGGAATTGAATTGCATAAGAACAAGCTCGTAAGTAACGATTGTACCAACTACCTGATTTTTATTAAGATAAAATATTAAATATGATATGATTCAGGTCTTACATTTATAAAGTATAGCTTGAAAATAAGAAAAAAAACATAATAAATTGTAACTCACTGTCAATATCAGGCTGCGAGTAACGGAAAAAAATTTCATTCCTGTTAAACTAATGTGATCTGTTGTTACTTGTGATAAAAATCTTTCAACCTATCATTACAAAATTTTTATTTATTTATTTATTTTATTTTTTTTTTTTTATTATACAATACAATGAAAAAGTACCTCAATTGAAAAACTTGTAGTTTCAACATTATACAGCACTGAAGCAGGTAAAAGCGATTCTTCGTGAATATTAGCTGCATATAAGGATACTGCTACTGTTCTTAATAACAGAAAGCCAAAAGAAAAACAAAAGTATATCCTATGAATTACATTGGGCATTGGACTGAAAAAAAATTTTTTTTTCACAAATAGTGTTTGTCTACTCAGCAAAATATTTTGTAAATAAATTAACTATGGTAGTTGGTTTAACTGAAGCTTACTTGAAGGAGTTAAGAAGTTGAATGCAAATAAAATAGAGATTAGCAGAAAACGATAACAGGACTATGCTGGATATTTCAGAATCAACTTTTCTTGTTATTGTGGCCAAATAATTAAAATCTTTTCGAGCTTCAGTCCACCAATCTTCTGGCATTATCTTGAATAAAAACATTTCTATTATTGAAATTAATGTTAAGACAATATTGATGAAATACATAACACTTATTGTCAAGTCAAACAATACCTGTAAAAATACTTAATTTATATTACTACATTTAATTATAAGTTTAACGTACGCATTCTCTAATTAAAATTTTTTTTATTAGAGAATGTAATGTTTTACATTTAAAAAAACATGAAATGAAACGATATTTTTCGTACAGACAAAAACATTCATTAGTCAATGATTTTACCTTGTCAAAGGTTGTGTATAGTCTGCGATTGAAATATTTAAATTGATCAGTAAGTGAAACACTCATCAGGATTAAAAAGAGATCTATAAACGTCCATGAAAATGTACTTATAATATTTACAACTTTAATAATGAATGCTTTCCATAATGCATAATTATGTTTCGTGAAAAGCTAAAATTAATTAAATATTTTATAATATACATTTATCTAAAGTTATATTATTAGTCATACATTGCTTAATTGTCTTGTACTTACCTCAGGAAATTTCAAAATAAAATATACGTTAGCAACATCAATATTGCCGTGATTACGTGCACACTGTACTGAACGAGCATACCCAGATAAAATCGATAGAATATGTTCTGCTATTAAGAAACAAAAATATCGTCTAGTAAAATAAATGAATTTTTAAAATTTTTTCATGTGATCATGTTGGAAAGAGACCACTGTACATCAAAGTGACCAGTTTTTAGTCTGGTCAAGTATTTTTTAAGTAAATTTATTATTACAAAAACTTTTCTATATTCTTTGGCTTTAACAAAAACATAACAATAAAAAATGTTAGAAAAATTACTGAATATTTTAAACTATTAAAACTAGAAAATTCACATGGAAAATAATGCATGCTTCAAACTTAGATGATTATAGTATTTAAACGCCAAAAGGATGAGAATAAAATTTTTTTCAGTAACACAGTTACTGTTACTAATTTTTCAACTTGCAACATGTTAATGTTCAGTGTGTATTAACCTCTTCCAAATAAGATTGTGTAACAAAATTATATCTGATTATTTTTTCTCCGCTCTATAATTGATCAACCTTAGTCCAAATGATAAATTATATCGGCTGAAATATTTACCAAGTGCCAGCATCATTACTACAGTACAAATTATTCTCAATTTTACAGTGCGGCTAACGTATGGATGTATTAATTTTGATTTCGTAGCAACTTTTCTTTCCATCTTCTCCCAAGAAAAAACTAAATCAGGCCACTTGCGAGCTAGTTTTAAAAATAGCAACGCATTTATTCCAGCTTCTAAGAAGAATACCAAATTACCTAAAAATTGTCTAGTAAATACATTGTTCATTCTAACTATTAAAAATGTTAATGGTTGTTAACTTTTGAATTAAATTAAAATTAAATTTTGAATATAAATGACAAAAAAAATGTCAATACAAATCTTTACTTATTTTATTTGCATTGATCGATGTAGTAGCTAGCTGATGTGTACTCAACAACGACAGGATAAAGACGCTCATTATAAATAAACAGCAGTATACAATTTTAAAACTCTTCCAGGTAAATCTTTAAATAAATAAATGCTTGATATTTTTGAGAATTTAGCATAAATTAAGCATTGATAAATTAAGCATCGCCTGGATGTACACCATGGTTATGCATCTTAATTCAAATAAATATCAGGGTTTGTCACTAACCTCAGATCACTTGAATTTGGTGACAAAATGCCATTTACTGGAAAAAGAGCAAAACACTGTGCCATGATGATTATAGGCCTGAATGCAGTGTGAAATGTTCCTGTATTTTCATTGACAGCAGCATTTGCTGTACCTTGTTTTGATACTTAAAAAAACATGCAATCATAAATTTGGAAAATAGTAAATTATCATTGAAAAACATTGTACGGATGTAAATAAACTGAATAAAAAAATTATTAATAGAAGAAATCGTTCGTAAAATTTGTTTTTTAGTTTACATAAATAACACAAAACATTTTTGTCATAAACTATTTCGTTGTATTTTAAATTTTTCATTAGTTCTTAATATTAAAATATATTACCCTGAATCGGCATTTTTACAGATTTATATTATCCACTTCTTGTAATAAATCTTCGTTACCAATTGCTCGTATCTTAACCTTGTTGTTTGTCACAATTTTTGCATGGGAATCTAGTATCCAATAAATTTTTGATTTTAATATTGATTACAATGTCCGTATTCTTGTTGAAATATCTATTTTATTACTCAGTGAATGTCTAGAAGCAGTTTCCCTACTTTTTCGAAGAAAGACGAGAGCTGAATGGAATTCAATGAATCTCTTGTTCACTGAGTAAACTACTTCGTTATGAATAATAAATGGTTATATCTAGATCAATCAACCAAACTATCATGTCCGTTCAAGGTACGCTTAACCTACAATTTCAACGTAACATACATCACATACATCGTAATTTGCACACGTTAGGAACATGCAATCACAAAAAAAATAAATAAAAACAACATTTAAAATTTTTTTTTAAATCATACACCTTGTTTTACATTATTCCATATACTTTTTGCCTGCACTGTGTAAAATTTTGTTTTGTATTCCTCAACCAAGGAAGAAATCGTATGTGACTGACTAATAGGTATAAGTAAGACTATAGTGTTTGGAACTACTTCGAAACGCTCCTCGACGATAGGTGTAGATACATATGTGTATGTACATGTTATTAATTCAAGAGCGCTCGATAAAATAACCATGATAAATGAAGCACACGCTAAAACAAATCCAGTGTGATCGCTCAACAGTATTAATTGACAAAAATATTAAGGACACGTAAATGTGCATAAATAGGTGTGGGTAACACCTAACCATTGGATTTATTGTGTACGTACCTGTTTCATTTCGATTTAAAGTATTCAATCGTGGCATAGTTATTAATCGTTTGTACATCAGCAATTGGAGTTTTGTTAAATTTTAATGACGGCATTGTCAGAACTGGTCTATTTTTACAATTGTGAAATTGAGTGCAATTTTCACTATGTTCAGAGATAATTTTGATTATCAGAGAGAATACATGCTTGGCTTACAAAACATGTATGACAACATTGATTGCTGCAAACCAATTACTCAAGTGAGAATTCTGATTTGTCACCTCTAAGTCATATGGATGTCTACTTCAAAATCTCTTATTTTCTTTGAAAACTCTGAAATTCTTTTTAGTACTTATTCCGAAGGGAATTGTTAGACGTTAAATAATACCAATAAATCGGGAATTTTATCGTGTGTTATTTCCAAATGTATCTCAATGTAAACTCGTGTCAATTAACAAATATATTATAAATACTTAATTATTAAAATTGATTCTTTCAAAGCCGTTGCATGTTATTTCTTCAAGACTAATGTAAAAATCGTGTAAAATAAAGTAAGAATGAACCAACACATCATCACAAATACATTTCCTCCTTACAACATCGGTTGATACCGATAAGTAATATTAACCGTAATCGTATTGCAGTAATTGCTAATTTTACCGAAAAAATATTTATGGGGTCCAAATTTTCAATTAAAATTAACACACCTTATACAAGTCCAAAATTTAACCGTAAGGATTAGGTATTTTCTTTTGATTCTTACAATTAATTTTCTTTTCGTGGTTTTATTTTATTGATTGGACTATCATAACATTTATTATTGAAAGTTATTACATTTAACAATTACATAATTCAAAATTGTCCATTAAATATGTAAGAACAATACATTTCGTTGATAACAATGCATGTATGCTTCGAGTTCCACTCGTGCGTAGTTGTTGCATCCTTTTACTCTCAAAACTCCTCGATTTTGACGTCTGTAATAGACGAATCGGGAGACTGAAACAGAAAGGTACTTTTCGCAGCTGATGCAGATTTTCTCGCGATACAAATGCTTAAAAATTCCCACTTAATCCAATTCGCAAGTATTTTTTTGAAAATTAAAAAAAAAAAATTCAATGTATAAAACTGCGTAGTCATACGCGTAACGATTAGAAAACAAAAATGTACTTGATCAAATTAAAATTTATTTGTAATATTCACACATAAGAAAAAAATGTACTCAAGATGTTGATTACTTCAGTTTATTCGGATACTGGTAAATTATCATAGAAAAAAAAAAATGGTTAAATTATTTTCTAATGACGGATGTAATGCGCAGTAACTTGTAAAAAAAGAAAATAACGTAGAAATGATATGCAATGCTTGATTGATGCTGATTAAAAAGAGACACTATTTGGAAATTGATATTGTTTTATCATACAAAGGCTTCATTATTTCACCTCGCAAATTTTGGTGATGTTAGAGACACTGTGCTGATGATCAGATTGAACAGCGTTGAACTGTACGAGAATAAGTTCGTAGGTGACAATTGTTCCGGCCACCTGTAACGCCAAAAAATTTACTCATCATTCACAGAGCGTAATTCCATATTATTATTCACATGATACACGATACAATAGGTAATTATCACTAAGACCACATTGAGCAGAAGTTATACACACATACTTATTCGTAGGCGTTAAAAAGAGAGCCAAACAAAGGTACTTACAAACGTACTTACTGTCAGTATCAAACTTCGCGTGATCGAGAAGAACTTCATCCCAGTGAGGCTTACGTGATCTGTCGTCACTTGGTTGAGGAACCTTCGAACCTGGTTGATTTAACTCTAATTAATCAATTGCCAATAAAATAGCTGTTACTCATGCGTTACCTCTGCCGAATAACTTGCGCTGCAAACGCTGTACAATATCGGAGCTGGTAACAACGACTCATCGTGCACACTGGCAGCGTACAACGAAACGGCCACTGTTCGTGATAGTAAAAAGCCAAACGAGAAGCAGAAGTAAACCGTCTGAATGGCGTTGGGCAGGGGTCTGCAAAAGTTAGCAGTTTTTTTTTTTCTTTTTTAGCCTCGCACATTTGTGATGATACTTGGACGAACACGATGTTTATAGAACTGCTAGATTTGAAATTAGCTCGAAAATTTGAGTATATGTATATGCATGTAAAATCGTTACGATACTTGAACGAGTTGAGCAGTTGTATGCAAATAAAGTACAGATTGGTGGAGAAGGACAGCATCACTATGTCGGATATCTTATCGTCGACTCGTCTCGTCATTGCTGCGAGCCGGTTAAAGTCGACCCGAGCCTCGGCCCACCACCACTCTGGCATTGCCTTAACAACGAAACAATGCTAATTCACCTGTTAGTAATATATACCCATGCAACGTCAAGTGCATGCAGCGTCGTGCGTATTACTTCGTTTGCCGTGAAATTTTATTGTTCCTCGAAAAAAAAAAAGACGAAAATGTATAATGAAACGGCTACACGAGCCGGCATATGGTCATTACAAAAGCTAACAATAGCAGTTTCATGAAAATTTAAACAAAAGCTGTGTTGGGAACAATAAAACATGTATTTTTGGACGCCACAGATGACAAAAAAAATTTGTATTGCACTACCTTTCCCCTGATAGAATACAGCCGATGATTCAGCTGTTTGAACTGATCCGTGAGAGCAACGCTGATAAGAATAAGAAATAGATCCATAAAGCTCCAAGAGAAGGTGCTGAGGATGTTTATGTACTGGACGATGACTCCTTTCCAATTGGCATAATTAGTTTCCGTGAAAATCTGAAAGCACAAATCGTTCCGATGGCACGGATTTGAGATGGAACGGCAATGAATGGGACACGAACTTGTGGAAATTGGAGCGAAAAGTACGTAGCGACGATGTCGGAGTGCCCTCGAATGTGCGCGCACTCTATGGCACTGACGTATCCCGACAGGATAGACAGGGTGTGCTCGACTGTAACAAAAGGCACACGTCACTCCTGGATTTGGAGGAAAAAAAATGGCCATCCAACATCATTCATCCACATAAAAAAGTAAAATTACGACACATGGACAATTATTTGGGACCGGTTAATCCTGAATTATTGTCCAAGGGTTGTGAAACATGTTATTTTAAGAGTCGACTAGTATTACCGAGAGCAAGGATCATAACAACTGCGCTGAGGATCTTGAATTTCAAGATCAGGCTGATGGCGTTGAGACGCCTCGAGTTGTGCCTCGCTGCCAATTCTCGTTCCATGTTCTCCCAGGACACGGCGAAGCTCGGCCACTGGCGCGACAACTTCAGAAACAGCAGCACCGTGATCCCAGCGGTGAAGAAGAAGACAAGATTACCTGTCGACGGTCAAAAGGGTATATGGTACAGTTGATGGCGAGTGCAATTGTCATTATATTGTCTCACTCGTTTTGCTCGAAGTTATCGACGTGGTCGCCAACCTGTAGACGCTGAACATCGTGAGAACGATGGAACCCGTTGCGGACAGACAGCAGTACAAGACCTTGAAACTCTTCCAAGTGAACCTGCGTATTGGGTTTAACGGTCTGTATTACATTATCCACGGAGTTATATTGTTGAAATTTTTTTCTCCTTGAACATATTTAACGGGACAAACAACGTTGGCGAAAAATAACAGCGCTTAACTTTAAACTGCTTGCGTCGGAAGACTGGACTCCGTCGACCGGAAAGACGGCAAAACACTGGGCCAGGGTGACGATCGGCTTGAGGGCGCAGTGAAAGCTCCTGGTGCTCTCGATGAGATTGGCCCCGGAATTCGAGGCGCTCGATCTCGACGCTTCAAAGGCCAAAATTATGGCATTTACCACGAATCAGCCGTTTGAAAAAAAAAACCGCGTGCACTCACCATCGATCGGTATCGAGTCCATCTTGAAGGTTTCGTACCTCCCGTGTTGCGGCGACTCGGCTAGCGTCGCCCTGAAACGCAGTTCGGACATTCAGCTACTCGGGAGCTTTTGTGCTTGCTCGTGTGACCGGCCAAAGCTCTGGTCGATCCCCGAATCGTTGGGCCAGCCCGAAACATCAAAATCCCGCGCTCGCGAGCTCAATTCATCTATATGGACTGTTCGCGCTGGTCGGGACGGAGCTTTTCGCGGACCGATGGAAGCTCGAACGGGGACTGACTCGGAACATTGAGCCGCCGTTCTTTAGGGTGAGCTCTTTGGTAGCGAGTGTACAGTCGCTCGGGAGTGGGTGAAAAATTCAATAATTTCCTACGTGGAGAAGGACCTCGTTTGTGACGCGTCGGTGGTAAAGTTTGCTCAAGCTTGTTTTCCTTCCCGACGGTACTCCGTATTTTTCCAAAGCCTTTGCCGTGCCCCACCGGCTATCTGTGGGGTCGCAATTGCCGCACCGTCGAGTGTTGAATGAGGCTGGCTCTCTGTTTGTTTGGAAAATCGGACGCGAGGAGCTCTTGGCTGCTACGCCATATCGCGGCATCATTAGCGGCTTTTGCTGGGTCGTTTTGACGAATGGAGATGTCACGACTGCCGTTTGCGTGCATACATATACGCGCTAGGGTTTTTATATTTTATTCGTCGAATGAGTTAAACGTATAGCATTCATCGGTAGTTTTTTTTTTTTTTGTTTTTTTTTTATAACAAGCATTATATTCTGAAATACGAATTATTATTATTATTTATGATACGCAAAATTGTTTTGAAGAAAATACTATGTCAAAAATATGACATTTTTCAACGTAATGTCATAACTGTAATTGTGTTTAAAATGAAAAAAATGTTGTATAGAGCAAAAATAGACTTTCTGAGCTAGTGCTTTCTTTCAAACAAAGGCTAATAATAAGATGTTGTTGTTTTTTTCTTCCAGCAAGTTTGCAAATCATTGGTGCAACCGTTGTCTTCAATAAATAAATTATCCATTAAACAAAGATAAGCAACGCAATCGATTGTAGCGATGGACACCTGCCGTACACTTACCTAGACTGACTGCTGGAAAAAAGCCTTACGGCCGCTGGCTGCAAGCTCGGAGCTTTTGCGGGCTCGACGCGAAACGACCTCGTTGCCCGGCTGCTTCTGCCGTCCATCTCCCCCATTCGCGGACACCACCACGATTACCTCATCGGCCAATTCTGTAAGCTCCGGAGGATTAATTTTCCGTTGATTTCAGGTCGAAACGAGCACAACGCGGCCTTCTCATAGAGTAGAGATTAACGCAGCTTTTGAAATCCTAAAATACAATCCCATCGAGGTTTTACGAAACGAAATAACATTCCGATTAATACTTGGGTTGGATATGCGTCCAAGATGAGTGTGAAAGGGCTTCCATAGCTGGTGCATGACATTAAATAAATGAATAATAATAATAAAAAAAAAAAAAAAAAAAAAGATGAATCTCGCGTAACACAAACGATGGGTCAGGCGTACGTGGCAATGCGCATTCACTATCGGTACACCAAAACTACTCTTGGTATCCTCGTTGTAAAAAATCGTAACATTTATTAAATATATCGTAGAGATAATATCACGCTGAGAGAAGATATAGAAGCTTGGGAGGTATTACTCGACGGCGTGTATTATACACCAGATGTCTAGATACGTAACTCGATTATTTATATTAGAAAGTAATTTTACGATAAAAGCGTCGTTCCTCGTACCCGACCGTTCCTTTCTGATTCGCTTAAGGAAGAATAAAAATCCTATCCCTCCGTCCCTGCAATAAAAGCTTAACTGTCGCGCGAACACGCGCAGTAGAAAACGTAAGCTCGTGAAATGCAAACATATTATGTTTACTTTATTAATCTTCGTGTGATGGACGGCTAAGCTCGTTTGTTGCGCATAGCTGATGGCACTTGGGTAGGACGACTTTATTACACGCTTCGTGTGCAATGATTGTGCGTTGCATGCGTGCCAGGAGAAGTGGGTTTGTTTTCGTTTGATTGATGTTGAAAAAACAACATTGCAGATTTTTCAGTAATATTTTATTTGTCAGGGTTCTCCTGTGCGAGAGAAAATTTCTGTCAATTAATTTTTCCAAGGATTCCCTGGCTCATTCTTAATATTGAAAAATAAATTGTGAATTTGATTTCAATTATTGAATGGCTTTTTTACTCAAGGATTTCCTAGTATACGTCAATTATATGTTACATTTAAAATATATTATTTTTTAGGTTGAAAAAATATGTAATTTTAATACAAATTTATACCCTCGCAAGCATATAGGTATAGTGATAGAATGTGGGTAGTTTTTATTAGGAAAATAAAATTATTCTGTCTAGTCATTCCCTATTCAGTGTCCCATAAAAAGTTCAATAAAAATAAACTGGTAAACAAAGACAAACTTTTTTCGTAGTGGAAAATTTTTATGAAGCAATAGAAGTATTGAAGATTATTTTTACATTCTGATTAGATGTTTTGATGCAACTTTTCTCCAAATATAGATAAGACTATCTTAAAATGACAGATAAAAATAAAAACATTTGTATTACATTACTATTATCAGATGCATCAGAGCTATATTTATGAATGTGGAGATAAGAAAAAATATCGCTTTCATGAGCATCAAATCAACAAAAATATATACCAAAAAACGTTTTACATTTCCTCAAAGAGCTAATAATTTATACCAAAGAAAATTTTTTTGTTTGAATACTTTAGAGTATTAAAACTATTTTGATTATTTTTTTCATATGAACTTTAAATTTTTTGTTTACAAAATTTCCTCTACAAAAAAAAATTTCTTATCAACTACTAGCTCTTTGTGGCTTACAATAAAGTCAGCAACTTTTTATAAGGTGAAAATTGTTGTATACCTTAAAAATATTTCCTTAAATAAATCTTTTGGAAAATTTGAAACATATTTTGATATTAACTTTTTTGATTTTATGCTCATGACAACGATATTTTTTCTTATCTGTACAAGAGAAAAAGCAGCTACACGACGTATCTGATAAAAATGAAAGGAGCTGATAGTATTAGTAATGTTTTTATTTACATCTATTACTTTAAGATAGTCTTTTTTTCTAATGTCCAGAAATACTCGTAGAATGTATACGAATCATCTAAGCAAAATAGAACAATTATCTTTAATTTCCTTAATGGCCTCATTACTTGATAAATACAACCCACATACGTATCTGTCTCAAAAGTGTAGTTAAATATCAATTTTTTTTAATCAGTGTCGAATCACAGGTAAAAGTAAAAAGTTTTTAGATCACATAAATATTATTGTTGACGACCAAGGCTATTGACATGATTTGCTTTACTACCCTCAGTGGGTATAATATATTATTTTTTAGTTATCAAATATCTAATTTATTGAAGTTTTCTAAATATGCAGTAAATTTCTTTCTAGTTAAATAATTTGGTATTTCAACTTTGACACGGATAGGAATTGCAGACATGTATATCTGTACACACAAAGAAAATCGAATTGTTTTTTATCAAAACATCAGTACCCATCCATGCACTATAATTTAGGGCAGTCATTCACGTTCGAGATCTGAATTGTCGCTTTCTATTTTTTTAATGCACCATTTACGTTAGCAAAAGCCAACACACGCAAGCCAGTACTTACGACTTGGTTTGATGCTATAAAATATCACGTATTTTTATTTTGAAATTACGAGCATTTTGTTTGAACAGCAACAAATGTATTTTTTTTTTTTTTTTAACTTTATTTCGCAACTACATAAAAAGTTAAAACAAACTTATGAATTACAAAGCATACAAACGTCCTCATTCTCTTTCCTTCTTCACTCTCAGCCTGTCAATAAAATCAGCTAGTCAGCCAAAGAAATTTTTCCAGCGAACATAGAATCCATAAATATGCAATATACATACTGGTGCATCAGTGTTACCTCTGCGCGCCTTTGTGGTGCAGTGGATGCTATTGGTTTTCGATAAATCCGCATTCTCCAAATCCTGGTAAACTTCTGCTGTGCGTGTGTAATAGGTCAGAGAGCGCTTATTTAACTACATTCATGCGTATACAGTAAAAAAATATTTATTTTCCGCCCTCGGGTGGTTTTGGGAGGCTGGTACTTCCTCGGGCGAAAAANCATAATAAATACCCGGACAACCACCTGCAACGATACCCTTGTAAGTGGTAAATAAAAAAAAAAATAAATAAAATCAACATACACACAACATACAAGGAACCAAATAGACAGTTGAAAAGCACACACATCAGGTAATTGTTTTTCTTTCTCGGTCAACGAAACACCCATTAAATATTGGTTCGCAAACAGAGACTTTTCAAACTCGTAGGAAAACTACTATTGTATTATTCATATAAAAACTTGATGATTATTTATTGAATTATAAATAACGGAAAATCAAAAAAAAAATTTTTTTGGAATAATAATCGTAATATTGCGCGATACCAACTCAATCCTCAAATTCTACGTCACCCTTAAATTTACCTATAAGACTCAAGTTTTTCTGAACTGGATCTTTCATACGTAAATTTCAGTAGCTTGTAAACAAAAATTTCGTTAAATATCACAGAATATTGAAGGAATCGGTTTTTTGTTGGGGGCGAAGTTGAGAAAATAAGTACACAAATGTGTTTAAATTTTCTCTATGTAGTAATTTTGAATTATAAGAAATAAATTTGCAGAGAAAATTTAAAATATATTTGAGTGTTTGTGTTCTCACCCTCGTCTGTAACGGATCACAGATTCCTGCTTTTTTTATAGCCAAAGGTATATATATATATATACTTACTATTCGATCGGTCCAAAAGCCTAACAGGTCTAAAAATAAGATCACAGACGTTGTGCATCTTAATATTAAAATATATTACCCTGAATCGGCATTTTTACAGATTTATATTATCCACTTCTTGTAATAAATCTTCGTTACCAATTGCTCGTATCTTAACC